GTTGCACCCCTGGAACCTCTGAATCAAGATAAACCATAATCCAAGTGAAATAGGAGCTCAAAATGCCACATAAGATTGGTAGCCATATATTACTATATTTCGCAGCCGTTTTCCAGCTATACATAAACATTTCAGTTCCATCTTCTGTAAAAACTTTATACGAAATAAGTTTCTGTTCCAAAAACGCTTTTTCAAGGCTGTCTCCTGAAAATATTATAAATCATTTAAAACCTTATTCTCATTAAAATAATAAAACATTTAAGAAAGAATAAACAGAGTACTTACTGTATATTGTGAAAAATTTAACAGTTAACACTAGCAAGGACAAAATTAATCCATAAATTGCAATTTTCCATTCACTCCACACTGGAACATCTTCGTTTAGGTTAGAACTTTTAGAAAAAACATATGGCCTTTTTGAGAATCTTTGGCTGTTTCTTTCGCTCGACATTTTCAATTTTTGTTTTTATCTTTTTACTTAGTGTTAATTTTGTGAAATAAAAATGTAAACATCAAATTGGAAATCGACTTACCTTATTTATAAATGACGTAAGGCGCGCCGTTGGAGGTTGGAGGTGAGGTTGACATTTGACACTGACATACAAAAATGATGTCATCTAGGCTCGACGTATTCAAAGGTCAAATAGATGGTGGGAGCTATAAGTACGACGACCCGTTTATTTAAATGTTGGCACTAAACAACTTAGTTTGTTCTGGTTCTAAAATTGAAAACGGTTTTGAAACTGCGCCGGACCGTGTGCGTAAAAGCAAAAAATCCCTGACTGAAATTGTTGTAAAACCAGAACACATAAAGGTGTTTTTTTTATTGTTTATTATAATAATGCAGTTTAAAGCTCAACCTGAAGTAACAGTTGCATGTATATGTTCATCATTATCATCCTCATCACATTTCAATGGAATAAAATAAAAAACTGGAGAATAATATTAAAAAAATTAATAATTCTAAAATTGCGTCAATTTACAAATAAAACAAGAACAAGAGACATTCGTCCACACACAAACAATTTGGGATTGTATACGTTCTGTATGAGCTTAAAAGCTAATAAAATATTGATAATACTTCAAATACGCATGCGCTGTCAAAACAGTCCGAGTTGATCCACACTCCGTAGTATGAACACATTTTGACTGTTTACAACGATCACGGATTATTTCGGAAACGAAACCACTGGACTGAGAGATCCGAAATAGTCCGAGAAAATCCAGGGGTGAGATTACAGAACGTCTGCAACTTTGCAGATCTGCAAATATGGCGGCAACTTTGAAAATCTTGCAAATATGACTGACTTACACATGCAAGTATCAAGTTTTCGTATTCCAAATTTGGGTTTAGTGTTGTTGGGGGTAATAAACCACAATAAATATTGTGAATTTGCAGATATTTTTTGGAATACTTGCATTTGTAAGTCCGCCATATTTGCAGATCTGCAAAGTTGCAGATCTGCAAAGTTGCAGACGTTCTGTAATATCACCCCAGAACGCTATTTATGGATCGTTATTTCTCAAAACCAGAACAGACCTCTTATGTATTATAAAACAATAAAATAGCATTATGCTTCTGAAATTAAACTATCTCGAATACTGTAGATTTACGCATGTTAAGAGAAAGGTTTTAACAAAAAATAAAATAATTAACGCTAAACAATTTTTTATTTCTATGGATTTTATTGAAATTTTACAGAAAATAAACAAAAACATACATTAAGATAAGTATTTTTCTGCAGTTTTAACGAGACGGGTCGAGGTGAGGTCTTAGGTTTGTTCCAACAGCTAATCTGATCATCAGAAGGACGTCAGACGCATGCGCATGCACACTAGTCCATTTCTACAAAGCCACGGCACAGTTTATAGCTTAAAAGAATCAGTTCGCTCACTTGGACCAATTGGATTTTCCAAAATAACATCCACTCCAGTGGGTAATGACAGTTTAGATATGGCAACCCTGTTGTCCTGTTGTCATTAATAGGATCAATGATACACATATAGTTATATAGATTGCTCAAAGCTGGTCGTTTACGAGCGGCCATATTGTCTGGTAAATATTTATTAATTTGAATCGGTTTAGCAAAAATGTGTTTTAAAACCAATTTTTAGCCTTTAGGTATTTAAAAAAAATAATTGCTTATATTTTTACTTTAAGGCATAATTATTTTTAAAAATATGGATGATCAATCTATGTAACTATCTATTTCATTGATCTTGTCAAATCACCAGGCCTACGGGGTTGCCATAATTTTGCCATATCATAAATCATAACCCGTCAAAACCAACTGGTTCTAGCCATTCAGTTTGGAATGCCTAGTTGGAACAAACCCATAGTCTCGCCTCGCTGGCATTACTCCTTTTTTTCACAAGTCAACGCCTGTCTGTCATATAACCTCATGTAATACTGCGTTAAGAAATTCGTTGAAAGATAATTCGCATTTGTTTCTCACATTTGGACAGATTTCATTCATTAGCAAATCTCACATACTTTGAGGCAAATCTACTCAGAAGCTGATATAGCTTGTCAGACGGATATAATGGATATCGGCAATTCTTGCACGTGATCTGGTCTACTGACTGAACTATCACAAAACTACTACTTTTTTATTTTTACTGAAAAGCTTCTTTCTACCAGCCAGATTTTTTGAAAATCATCTAAATTTTATTTTTATATATAAAAATTCACTTTTTTTGGATTTAAAAAAAATTCTTTTATATTTAAAGATGACGTTGATCTCTTCTTGCAGATTGTCTGTACTAAAAAATTTCAAGTGGATTAACATTTAGGAACAACAAGTCACTTATCCAGAAAACAACTTCGAGACCGATTGATTCAACAGTTAATAACAGACCAATGAACCATTTCTTATCATCAGGACAATTTTAATAGAGATTTGTGCAATTTATTTGTATCTTGTAATATTCCAATTAACAAATTGGATAATCCTCTGTTTAGATATTTTTTTAAAACTTATTTTAAGGAAGAAAGTTTACCCAGTTCTTCCGTTTTGCGCAAAAAATATGTTCAAGTTAATTTTGATAACGCATTGAATTCTATAAGAAATGAAATTAACGATAAACCTGTGTGGTTTTCGGTTGATGAATCAACTGATACGCAGGGGCGCTATACAGGGTGTTTCATAATATATGCGCAGGACTTTAGGACATGATAGCTCGTCCAAAAATATGAAAAAACGTTTCTATTAACTTACCCTCTAAAATGTATCATTTTCGAAAATATTATGAAACAACCGGTATTGCAAATTTTATAATAGGCGCACGATGAAAATATCCCTGGTAAAGGATATTTAATTTCAGTTAAAGTTTTAGTCAAAACAAATAATTTAACGATAACCAGATTTATTAACGATTAGTTAACAAATTTTTATTTACCTAGACAAAAGTGCCTACAAACAATATTTTATTAATGGTCACTGATGCTGCTGCATACATGGTAAAAGCAGCTGGAAACTTTAAAATATTTTATCCGAATTTAATCCATTGCACATGCTTAGCACATGGTTAAATAGGGTGGCTGAGACGGTTAGGAATGAATTTCCACTCGTAAATGATTTAGTTAAATATATTAGAAAGGTTTTTGTAAAAGCTCCTCTTCGGATTAAATTTTATAAGGATCGTTTGCCAGGAATTCCATTGCCACCAGAACCAATTTTAACACGATGGGGCAATTGATTAAACTGTGTTACTTTTATTGCGACAAATTTTAACGAAATTAAAGCTGTCATCTACGACTTTGACCCAGAAGACTCAATTGCAATTATTAAAAAATGCATCGTATAGTTTATAGCCATATTGTCCACATTCAAGCAAATTATACATGCATAGCCATAGCCATAGCCATAACTAAGCTTGAATCTCGAGATGTCATTATTTGAAAGCATACAAACAGTTAAAAATTTAAAATCTTTTATTGAACAGTCTGTGTTAATGGAAAATAATGTTACACGAAAATTTACATCAGTTTTAATAAATAATAACGGATTTCAGACATTAGAGGGCATAAATAATGTTTTATCTGGCAACTTTAATAATGAATTGGATTAAAATATTTCACCACTTAATTTCAAAATTTAAATATGCACCTATAACGTCTTGTGAAGTGGAAAGTTAATTTTCGGTGTACAAACATATTTTAAGTGATAGAAGGCAATGTTTCACTATTGGAAACATTGAAAAATATTTAATAACTTACTGTTTTCATTCTAATAATAATAATTAATTAGATGTAATTGATAGAAATGTAAAATCATCTAATCATATGTTTAAAAGGTCTATAATAAAATTTAAATATCAAAAATGACTGTCTTTTTATTTTTCATATTTAAAAGCATATTTTGTCTGTTGTTAACGTATAAATGCATATATTAGTCCATTATTAAGTGCATATTTTCCAAGCCCTAATGATAAATATTATATTTAAGATGAAATTAACTATTAAAATGAACCGCAAAACACTATTATAATAATAATATCTAAAAACAGTTAAAAAATTGCAAATACAAAATCACAATGTCACAAATATTCTGCTTATAGGTGACAAATAACAGGCGCGCGAAAATTAATTTGAATCGCGAATATGCTTTTTAATAATATATAAATATTTTCATTATGCGTGCCGGATGACATGATAATTATTATTCAAGCAGTAGGGTTAGTAGCCACTACAACTTATTTACGTTTGTCTTTGATGACTGCGTTGAAGTTGAAGCCCATTCGTTTTCCGATTAAAAAACCGAAGTTTTTTAATTTTCAAATTGCATGGTGAATTCCGATTCATAAATTTAGTTCGTGTGATGATTTCGCATGTAGAAGGTTAAACGAGTTTATCGACAATTTATCGTGTTGACGTTGACTCATCGTAAAACCCGCGTTTTAATTGAAATGCAGTGTTAAGTGATTAAAACATCGAAAATTGAAATAAAATCATGGCAATGCAAAAAGAAGTTGGTGTTGGAGATTTTGTCCTTATGGACAAAATCGACTTGGAACATTTTATGAAAAATATAGAATTAAGGTAGGTTTTGTTTATTTATATACCCATTACTGAATAACCGTCGAATAATTCAATAATGAGGGCATTCCCATCTGTGACAGGTGAACAAAGTTACAAATGAATTAAACTTGGGTGAACTTTTTGTAGTAAAAGCGGTTCATTACCTGAATTTTAATTTTATATTTGGTAACATTTTGTACATATATTAAAATGCATTTTGTAGCTAGGTACCTACATTCTTACATATTATGTTATTCTTATTCCATTGGCAAAAGGTCATTCTTAAATGTTTACGGGTGAAAGGTCAAGAGGACAGTTAAAATTTTCAAACATAAAATTTTGGAAATTGGCAGGTATATAGACCTCATGCCTATTATTATTGGTACCTCTTACATAAATTGTTATTTTAATTTATTCAGTTTAATATAACATTTTATTTTAATACATGAAATAGTATAGGTATTTAATTTAAATAGATTCTGATATTTAATAGGGTTAACAAAAAAATAGAGGTAATTATTAGGTATAGGTACTTATTGCCTTGTATTTAGAACTTCTTGAATGCAGTCAATTTTTTTAAAAGAAAATCAGAAGTATCTACTCTTTCAGAACTATAATCATGCCTAGGTTTTGG